CCCACCAAATCACTATCTCAACAAATTAGAATATGGTGACATGCCAATCAGCTAATCAACTCAAAACACCTGCAAATGTTTCCTGAGCCTTCAGGCACGCAGTCACGACTACTGGATAATCTGAGAAGCGTTTGACTCCGCAGCCATAGACTGACAGAAACAGAGGCCAAATATACAGTGGCATTTATAGTTTCAAAACTTTACTAACTATTGCCTCCAGTGGAAGATCCAGATCATTCGTTTTCAGCCATGAACAACACATTGACCAGTGGTCTGTTAATGGTGTGTCTTATTAATAAAATATAGGCTAAATTATTCATCTCTCATCATGAAAAAGTAACATGACATGTATATTATAACAAATTCGTTATTTTGTATGAGAAACAGTTCATTCAGCCTTGAAATGTTTCTGATCACTTATTACAATTATTTTAAAATACAGGTGCATCTCAATAAATTAGAATGTCGTGGAAAAGTTAATTTATTTCAGTAATTCGACTCAAATTGTGAAACTTGTGTATTAAATAAATTCAATGCACACAGACTGAAGTAGTTTAAGTCTTTGGTTCTTTTAATTGTGATGATTTTGGCTCACATTTAACAAAAACCCACCAATTCACTATCTCAACAAATATGTATGTCTGAAGAAAATATGTGTATGTAAGAGAAGAATGTATGTATGTGTGAGAGAGAGTATAGTGGAAATGGAAGGAGTATAGTGGAAACGGAAGGCAGGTCAGGCGCGATCAGGGATAGGGTCACCTGGACAGGTCCTGATCAGCATGGCTGAGGTAGATGAGGTGCCCGCAGAAGTATTTCAGCAAGCTATGTGGGTTTAAAAAAAATAAATAAATAAATATTATCATCGTGAAAAGGTTACATGGCTTCGTCCCTTGAGCGAGTTGTGATTGAGGACGCGGCTCAGCCTCAGTCGTGTTGCCAGATACACGTATTATAAGCGTCTATGGATTTTTTCCCCCACTTAATTTATTTAGGAATGAATCAAGTGGGAGGTTGCAAGTTAGGGACAGCGATATCTTTATATTATTTCCATAACTCAAGATTTGGACTCATTGCTATGCTCGAAATACTGAAAGAAAACCATAATTATAGAATTAGGGTGGGGGTTAATATGGATGTATTTCTGAGGAGAACTGACTGTCTTCAGAAAACTTTTGATGGCATTTTCTTTTTCCTTTTACCTTCGTTAAATACATATTAAAGGGGTGTTAATAAGCGCACCGCTGCGTACAGCAATAACATAGGAAACGCTATATTGCTACTGTTCTATAAGCGCCACCTGCTGTCAGAGATTGAATTGGCATTTTCATCAGAATCAGAAAGAGCTTTATTGCCAAGTGTGTTACACACAAAAGGAATTCGTCTTGGTGTCAGGAGCTTCCAGTACAGAAAGTAGCCTACAGTAGTGCAGTAGTGCAGACATACATATAATTAAGGTAATAAAAGACTAATAATAATAAAGAGTAATAATAAAATATTCATTCAGCCCGTCTGATGTTTTTGTTTTGTGCAGTTGCTTCATGTTGCATATATTTTTGTTTGTTTGTTTAAGGTTAGTTTGGCCAGTAACAGAGCAAAATAAACATTTAATAAATGTAAAAAAAAATTTTACAAAAATGTAAGTAATAAAAAAATTAATAAATTGGCAACGAGTATGGGAATCGGCTCATTTGATTGTTAAAAAAAAAAAAATCGGCAATTGGAATCGGTCATGAAAAATCCTGATCAGTGCATCCTTAACTGGACCTAACTGAAAAACCTGAAAAAGCATGGTTCATTTCAGTTTTATCTTTGAACTATTGTACCTATTTGTGCAAAATGGTTATCATTTATTACAATACAATGTTACAGTCAACAATGAAAACAATAAGTCTTAATTATTGATTGTGGCAAGGCCTGTGAAAATTTTGAGAGGCTTAGAAAAAGGGGTTTGAGTTAGTAATATTCAACATTTAACCTGGTAAAAAATATTTATTTAATGTTATCTGTGTTATATTTCATCTGCAACAGCAATGTAAACTTTTATAAACATCCGTTTGGTCGTTAACTTTTAAATGCATCATTATGCATAAAATGTGAGCAGAGTCCTCGCATGAAAGACCCGCGGCTGGCAGATCAATGTGCTACTTCTTTTCTCTCCAATACGGTAGGAAGTTAAATGAAATGCAATGTGGAGGATGTTAACTGAGACAAGATGATTGACAGGCCAGTTTACAGTGACAGGATGCTGTAATTATGCGACAGAGCGTCCGTTAAAGACGCAGTTGTGTGAACTGCCTACTCTTCTACTACACACTCAAAAGAGTGTACTTTTTCTTCACCAAAAGAGTACATACTTTAAGGGCGTAGTATAAGTAGGCACACTGAGACGCAGCACAAGTCTTGCACATGTATTTTCTGGTCTAAGAGTGACTTCCTGCTTAAACAGGAAGTAATGGATACCAAAAAAAGGTAGATATTTTTATATTTTTTAATGGATGACATTACACAGGAGGCATGGTTTATTACAGATATTCAAATCTTTTATCAAAATATAACAAGTTTCCTGCTTTATTAATTAAGAATAATTTTAAATGTCAAGTTATTTTAATAACATTTCTAGTTGTTGTTGTTTTTTGTTTTTTGACACTGACACTTTTTGATCAAATCAAGAGGACAAACATTAAAATGTCACATTTTTTTGTGAAAGATTTCAGTTATGAACCAGAAATTTACCCTTGGCCAACCAACCTTCCTTTTCTGGTCAACAGAAAGAAAATGCATTTAGCAGCTTAGAGGGCAAATTCATTGAAAGTCTTAAGAAATATGGCCAAGAAGACTCTCCAGTCACTGGCATATGGAATGAAACTATGACCAAGGTAAGACTAGCCCTCATGCATGTCAGCTGAGTTCGATCTAATAAATATTACAGTTTTCATTTTTATGAATTTTAGCTGAATTGCTGTGGATACAAAGGCTATGATGACTTCACAAATTCAACTTTTGTAAAGAGGAACTTAAAATATCCCAAACAATGCTGCAGTAAAGATTCAAATTCAATATGTGGAAAACAAGAAGCTGTGAACCAGGTACTGCCTCATTGTGCCAAAAATACAGCAAAAAGATGATGAATACATATTTTCACGAAGCTCTTTAATTCCTGTTATAGAAGATGAAGGGCTGCTTTCATGTGCTGCTTAATGAAAATATACCCATACCTGGAGCTTTGTCATTTCTGATCGGCATTCTACAGGTATGTGACCCTTGAAATACCCAAACTTTTAACAATTAGAAAGACAGAAATGTTGTTTTTAATCATGCATCTTGTATAGTTTAGTAATCCCTATCAGGAATGATGGATCTCATGGTGTTTTGAGAGAGCATTATTGATTCAGTTACTGCAGTATCATTTCCCTGAAGGCATCATACTCAAAATAATAATCACTTCATGACGACGTGTATTTATAATTCAATTTCAACCCTGTTTTCCAGATTGTTGCCTTGTTCGGTTCGCTGAAAGTCTACCGATGCTTGAGACGCTTACCTCATCTCCCAGACCTTTTTGAAAATAATCTGTGATAAACGACTACTGATTTGTTTTTTTCTGAATCTATGAAAGTTCTTTATGATTTGTTATTGCATTTGCCTTCAGAAAATATTCAGATTTTTCTATGAAACGTGGTGTGAAAATAAATATCAAGAAGAACATTGCTTTTTTTTTTTTTATTAATAATATCATTTACGATTATCTAGAGAAATATAAGTTTCATTTTTCAGTGTCTAACAAATATTTAAAAAAATATGTGCATAGTGGCTCCTCATTTCATTCAATAAAACTGATGCTTCTTTTTTTAATAACTTGACTTTCTGACAGAACAATATGATGATTTAATAACAATGATTAATAACCTTGATAATGAGGTCATGAAACATTTCTGTAAGCAAATCCTGTTGTGGAATAATTGAAAACTGAATTCAAACTTTTATTAAATGATATTAATCAGAGTTCTTTCTATTCCTGTTGTAAGACTACAAACTTCATTCCGTTGTAAACTATATAATATGAAGAATAACTGCCTAGCTTTATTTGTTTATTAATATGTTGTTTCTTTTTTTATATTGCACTTATGGATCAAAAAGCACCAGAAGCCTTACAATGCTGCAATACTGCCCACATGAGGATCATTTCCATCCTTATAGTTTGGATCACTATCAAATCTAATAATCATCTGAACGCTATTATTCATATTCATAAGAGCATTGCCTGTGTCATATTTATTATTTAAATTATTGTTACTGTATCTATATTCAAATGAGATTTCGTTTTGTCACATGTTGCTATTTTATCTAGACATGCACTCGATTTATTTTCAAGAAACTAGAAAAACTAGATGGATTTCAGTGCTGATTATCATTGTTCTGTCACATGATTAAGTCCAAAAATACAGTTTAAAAGGTCAAATAATCTTCAGACAAGAGCATACACACTTTTTGATTGAATGTATTAATATAAAAGAATATAAACGTGGGAAAAGGTGTATTTGGTCACTGTTTGACCTTACTTCCTGACCCTGTGACCTCTGACCCTAAACCTACACACTGACATTGAGTTTGAGCATTAGAGGGCAGCAACTGTGAATCTGCCAGCATCTGCTTTCTTTCTGACTTCTGTGGGAATGTGGAGACTTCAAGCGATGGGACAGTCAGTAAAGACACCGCTTCTGCTTTGCTGTTGGTCGGTTGTGGTTTTGGGGTCATGACCTTTGCCGGGTCACTGATAGGCTGAAAAGAGAAGAAGTCAGGTATAGAGCGGTTGGTGGCGTTTGAGGTACAAAAATGAGACTTGACTCGTCCCAGAGCAAGAGGACTCGTCCTCCCTGCAGATGTCTGTGCTGTGGGTGGTGGGATTTTTGGCACTTGTGACTCTTTTTCCATCAGCTTCTCGTCTTTCGCTTCACCTCTTCCATCTGTCTCACTTTGCGTGTGGAACTCCACACCGGACAGCGGAGGACAGGTGCTGATGAGTCCTCCACAGCTGCAGATGGTGCTCTGGGTGGTGTCCAGCATGCATCCGGCCGTTCCCGTGCTCCTCCCCACGCTCTTCTCTTCCTCATCCTCCGTGTCTGAGAAGGACGGGTCCGGGCTCACGGAGCGCGTCAAACGCTGCAGCTGGGCGGAGGTGCGCCGTAAGGCTCCGCCCACGAAGCCTGTGGGAGAGGGGGCGGAGCCCAGGAGCCGGTTAAAGAGGGCGAGGTTCTGATTCCGTGTCACAGATTCCTCCAGGTTTTCAGCAATCTCCTCCAGAGGCTGGAAATGCATGTCCTCTTTGGGGATTCTAGGGATTTGAAATGTCCAAAAAAAAAGGAAGTTATTTATTTATTTTTCACTTCAGCAATCATTTCAGAACATTAACATTGTTTCAAAGAAATACACTACAGATGTTTCTAAAAGAAGTCTTTCACCAAGGATGCATTTATTTGATAAAAAAATGTAATAAAAACAGTAATATTGTAAAATAAACCAGATGTGCTGTGGAATATATATATATATATAT